TAAGAAATAAAGAGTAACCAAAAAAATTTATGTTAGAATCATGTCAGAATGAAGTATAATTTATGTATATATTAATTGTACAAATTATTGACTTGGATCTTGACAAATATTAGTACTATTTATGTATACATAGAATGTACAAAAATTGGACTTAGAATCTGAATAAACTTAACTAGGCCCAATAATATGATATATGATACATAAACTGTACAAAAATATGGAATTTAATATTCAATTAAATTCATATGAGAGTATAAAAAAATTTTTAATAGATTAATTACAGGAAAACTAAACTATATTTTTGGATATCAGTAAAATTATATTTTTACTACAGTTTACTGAAATAAGTCTATCATTATAAGAAAAGTGTATAACATATTTCCCAAGAGAGTTGTTTAGAGTTTGCCTAATTTGCATATATTAAAAATTATCCTGTTTTGGATCCTAACATGACTTATTGCCAATTTTTATGAACTTTTTCTTGATCAATTTAACTAAATTAAAATTTAATTTCCCATTATATATCCAGTTTTGGCATTTTCAGTTGAGCAAAACACCACAACTAGTTTGTTGTACATCCTTGGCTGACATATATGTCAAACAGATACAACATAGGATGTAAATGAATGTACTTTAGTCAGTCGGGTAAGCATAGACAATTGATAAATTGAATTCTAAATGTAAGTATAGATAAATACATGCTGTTGTGTAATAAGACAATACACTTGGGCAAATGAAACACACAATAAAATTGAATTTCATTTTGTTAAATAAATGCCCTTTTTATGAATTGAGCTTTGTACAATTTTTGTATACAAAAGTGTTCCAAATATGGGATATTTCTTGTATACAAAAGTACATTTTCTGTACACTATTTGCATAGTATTTACATACTTGTTGTATACAAATCTGTTCCAAATATAAGGTACTTCTTGTATACGAAAAATTATACAAAATATGTACAGATTTATTCGGAATTTGTATACTTTTTGCACACAAAAAGTATACATTTTGTTTAATGAATTTTGGTAAGGGAATTGGCGTACAGGGGGGAACTAGACTTTGAATAGTAACACATGTGACTCACTAGTCCAAAACTCGCTGTCAAATTTAAAGCATGGTCTACGAACAGTTGGTGTATCACAACCCAATCTATCAACAACTTAACTATATCAGAGCTATAGAAGGTGTTATTTTTCTCAAACAAAGATCATGAACAAATCTGTTGACCGTTAAATGACACACACAATAATACAATTTAAGTACTCGGGGTACGACAATCCAAACATAAATGGTGTGTCAAACTACAACAAGGTTGTTAAAACACTTTCAAAAATATGGGCAAAGTTTGATCATGTGTCTCTAGCAACACAAAGGAATTTCTAATTTGCTAGATGCAATCATTAAAAACATAGGATTAATTATTCCAAAATCAGGCAAATCGCTTTAATAAAAACACAGTATGTAATCAGTGCACATGCAACATTAGCTTCAATTATATGGAATGGTTGTCTTGGCAACCAAAAATTGTCATTCTGTGCAACAAGATATAAAAGTTCACTCATCATACAACTACATTAATTGAATAAAGCTCAAAATGATTTAAGTGTAAGCATGCAATCACTCAGCATTAAATGATTAAATTTGTCATTAATCAGTGCTCACACCAAAGCCTAAGGGACTGTGTATTGTCCAACAATTCTGTAAACGGAGATAGAAAGTCTTGACGATGCATAGAATCTCGACGTACGCTGTTAATACACAATACTGGATACAGTTCAATTTGCTGTGAAGGATACCTTTATCAGAATATATTGTTCAAACCTTCAAACAAATCTTGCTTAATGCGCAACCCAGTACTCAATCAAATTGCGAAATGCTTCAATCATACTCCATCGATTCCATCGATCAATTGTTGTTAGTATACTCACATTTCAGAATTAGTTCACTTCCGCTTGATTCGGAAAATTCTTGTTGGTGTACATCCGTAGTATGGCCGCCACCATATTGAATCTAATGGGATCTGATGACATCTCGCAGAACACGGCAGTTCCATGTGGTTTCAAAATTTAATAGTGAACATTCACCTCTGAGAAATATATATATATTGAAATATGATTTTTTCGTGGACAAACACAGTCGCTGTAGTGTTCATTGAGTCCATTTGTTACAGATTTTTTGATCCGTTTGTTGATTTTTTACGAAAAGACGGTTTTGTACCTCTTGACTTGCTCATGGTCATCATACTTCCTGCACTTGAGTTGGCCTTCATGCGTTTTAGTGACTGGACACATGGTTCGGTTCCCATCAAATAGTCCGATTGGCATCCTCGTTTCTTATGCCGATCTTCTCACTGATCAATGTTCTCACTCAATAAAATTACAAATGCTATAATAATTAACTAAATAATACTTCAAAAACAAATCAAAACTATGGTTATACAGGAAACAACAAAAACTATCACTTATCGCCGCTAGATGGAACAATGACTAAAAGACGTCTTCATTACAAAAACACAATGTAAACTTTTTCTAGTCTTGATTAGATAAGAAATAATACAAAAAAATATGCCTGACTACAGAGAATTCTAATTATATAAGTGCTTTATAACTTTTTAGTAGCTGAGCTTTTATGAAAATATTGGTGTGAAAGAATGTAAACATAAACATTATTTAAAAAAACTTTCAGTACAAACTATGGATTTAAAATCTTTATAGCTTTCTAATAAAGATATGTTATAAATGGCTGACTGGTGGCCACTAAAGCAATTATTATATACGAGATGTTGTAAATCTACTATCAAACCCGACTACATAATATGTCCTATTGGCAGCCATAAGATTGATGAATCCTATTATTATGAGGTTATATGGTTAAGACAGTATAGCGAGAATATTGCCAATATAGCACAGGGTGATAGGACTATGTACAGTTCTAGTACTGTATCTGTAGTGTTATTATTATATATCTTTCTGATCCAATTACATGGTGTAGGGATGCCCATAACCAATGGAAATTATCAGAACTTTGCGAAAAATATCTTGACAATACCACATATAGATCCATATTTATTCAAAACAGCTACCCCAGACAGATACAATCTGCCAGATATTTATACCCTGAATTTATAGCTATTTTGACAGTAAATAAGACCCATATATATATACTTAAAGAATTTTGAAAATCAGGACCTATTTCAGTGACACGTCCCTGATTGGTAATTTCTATATAGTACCCCCTTCTCTCGAAACTTGATGACAGATATTTTATATAATAATTGAGCATATTAGCAATTTCAGATCACAGTTAGTTTCATTCAAACTCATTTTAAATGATAACCTAAAATGTTCTAATTTGCAGTGGAGTAGGTACATTCCACTAAATAAAGACTATTTACATAACATTGATTTGTAATTCCTGAATACATCTGTTCAAATGCTCAAGAACAATTGGACGAATCTGTATAATATAATGTCCTTCACTTCCAGTGCTGTGCAATTAACACATTTTAACCAATATCAATTGCAATTGTTATCACTCTGTCGTGATCTAAATCTAAAACTGTAATTACTGTGCAAAGATTTTAACACAATGGTTCTCCCAGTCGACTACAACCACTCTACATGGTACATCATCAGTTACTGCTACATCTGATGGTAAATTCAGTCCATCAGTGTTCTTATCAATACGACAGATGAAACGACCACTTCTATCAAACTTTTGTACCTTATTATTCGAATTAGCCACATATACATATCCATCATTATCAATAGCAATGCCACGTGGTCTGTATATCTGACCATCTCCTTTACCTGAACACTTGAATGAATACATGTACTCATCATCTGTATTGAAGACTTGTATGCAGTCATTGTCATAATCACCTACAAATAGTAATCCATGATTGTCTACAGCCATGTGGTGTGGTCCCTTAAATTGTCTTGCTTCACTTCCATAACCTCCTCCAAATGATTTGATATAATCTCCATCTTTTGTGTATTTTCTTATCAAGTGACCATCTTTATTTGTCTCATCACCAACCTTCCCATCCCAGTCAGATACATACACCATACCATCAGCAGGCCTAACAGCAATGCGTTGAGGATGCTTTATGTTCTCACTGAATTGTTTGATCACATGACCATTCATATCACTGATAACAACTTGTTTATTATCAAAATCTGTCATGTAGTATTTGCTATTGAATATGCACACATCAAGTGGAACGCATTTTTCAATTTTTATAATATTTTTATAATTTCCATCCTTGTCTGTAATTTGTAGTCTTTTATTACCCCTCTCAGCTGTAACAATGTCACCATTCTTATCTATTGTGACACCAATTGGCTTATTATATTCCCCTTTTCCACTGCCATTTTTACCAATGGTCTTCACCAATCCTTTAATGACATTGAACTGTGCAGGTGTTCCTGGTATTGGCTGATTGTCTATTGTCAATGACACTTTATATTTTCCATCTATTTCTCCATGTACCATCACTGTGTGTGTTCCATCATTGTTATCCTGTACTTTGATATCGTCACTTGATCCATCAGGTTTTGTTACTCTAGCCTTAACCACCTGGCGTGGAATGACTTGTTTTCCTTGTTTATCTCTGGTTGTTACCATTAAAGTTGCAGTGTCACCTTTGATCAGTTGTTTTGGGACATTATCAAGACTACAGTTTTGTTGACATGCGTTTGTTGCCAGTATTCCTACATCATCTCTCCCTGGATGAGGTTTGAACTCTATTACATCAGGAATAAGTTGTAGCTTAGTTTCCATGGCAATCAACCCATCAATTT